CTGTAAAATCGAAGCTTTGGTTGCTGACTCTGTGAATGTGCCTATTGGGGATGGATTAGTATTTGGTGTCTTCGATTTGTACGGTGGACATCGTTCCTCCATTGGCGGCGGCGTGATATTCATCGCTTAAGCTGAAGTTCAGCAAAGAGAGAACGCTAGGTTTATGATTTAGGGTTTGAACGATCATTGTGGTGGGTCAGGGTCTGAGCAACACCCCCAGGCCTTATCATTTCTTAACATCAAAAGTACATAGAGGGGCATAGACCATACCTCCGATACTAAGATGGGTTATGAGTTGATCGACCTACTAAGGTTATTCAACTAGACCCTATTACATCAATTTATATTTCAAAAGGAAACTAAGCATCTACGGACTCCTCTTCCTTAATACATGGATTACTAGAATACATAAACAAGGGAGACTCTCCCCTTTACAAGAAAAATCTATAGAAAGTAAAAGAATCTATCTAAATAACCATATCAAAGACATAGTCATTACAAATAGTATGTTTCTAAAAGAACCTGAATCTTATACATCCTGCAATCATAGAATACTTTGAATTTTAACAGAATAATAAGATTAAAGACCTCTTCTTCTAGATCTAGCAAGAGGCCTTCCAATATTCCTAGAACTGGTATATGTTTTGTTGTCTTCCTTCCTCTTGGTGACAACTCTTGTTTATCTCTAACATCTTGAATATCTTTTTTATATTTAGTGTGAAAGGTGGATTTAACTTCCTCTTCATCTTCATTACTTTCCAGGGATCTAGTATCTTCATCATACTCATCCTCGAAAGCTATATGACTATATTCGTCGTCTTCTTCAACTCTTTCTTTTTGTCCCTGCTGTTCCTTCCCTTGTCGTTTTTTTAGAGCTTTTTTTCTTTTTTTACTCAGCCTATTCTTGGATTTGTTATTACTCTCTTGAGGTGAATTGCCTTCCTCTTTGTTTGATTTTTCTTATCATGCTGCTGACTTGATCTGTTTACTGCAGGAGACTGTGTTAAATGTGATATGTTATCCTCGTCATATTGCTGGACTGTAGCTGAAGTGCTACACTCCCCTTCTTGCTCAATCAACCCTTTTCTTTGTATTTCATTCCCCTGCAAATCAAATTCTATGTTCTCATCTATTCCCATACTTTCAGTTCCTTCCACATCTACACAAATTCTAGTAGTCTCACATAAAATAGGATTGTTTTGTGATAGATGGGATTGTGAAATCATACCTGGTATACCATCTATAGTTTGAATTTTACCTAATTCACTTTGTGCATGGCCTACATGGTCTGTTTGTTGGAGAGGAACAGTTGCACAATCCTCATTGTGTTTCTCTATTTGACCTATTGTATTCTGTTCCTGCTTATTTAATTCAATAAAATTGTTAGATGTAGGACCATTGATTTGCATACCTGTTTGGACTGGTTGTTGTACATCTTGCATAGTATTCTGCTGAAGAATTTTAGCTTTCCATACAGTCTTGGGAAGGACTTGCAGGCTGTGTAGTTAGTTTTGTTTTTTGCTTCTGCCATTTTTCACCTTGATCAACAAATTCTGGAACCTGCTGCATTTGTTGTGTGTTATCTGCAGGCTGTTTACCCTGCTGTATTTCAACTGCAGCATGACCCGAAGTATCCTTGTCTTTATGTTCTGTATTGGCTTTCCTTTTTTGCATTGCTTCCAATTCTTTCCTTTGATAGAATTTCCTCATCTGTTGCTTTAGTTGTGCAGTCCTTGAGCATGGGCCTTGATGGGCCTTGATGTTTGCAACAGCATGGGCCTTGATGTTTGCAACATGGACAATAGTCAGGTAAGTTCTCATACTTAATACTTTGCCACTTACCTTTGGTCAAATCTTCTTCATCATAACCAAGCCACACATGCTTAGGTCTTTCATTTTTAAGATCAAGTTGGATTCTAACTCTTGCATGCTTCCCCTTGTTTTATTAACAGTAGCATTGTCCAAGTATAAAACCTTACCAATAGGAGATAGCATAGCAGTAAGTATATCCTTATAATAGCAATGCCATGGGAGTTCCGAAAGACCTATCCAAACTGGAACAATAGGTGTTTCCTCTATAGGTCTAAAGGTAGGTGTCCAAGTTTGAATACGCATAGGCTGGCCCTCAATAACCATTCTTTGTTTAGTCCAAACTGTTACAAAGTCTAATTTATTATCCAAATCAATGTAGACATGTCTAGCATTGAAATGGGCAATTTTAATTCCACCTGATAGTTGTGTAGTTGTGTTTGGTTGATAAAACTCTGCCTTATTAGTTCCACTTTAGGCATTGCACAACTAAACTTAACGATTAGAGTATATTTACACTTATCGGGCCATTTAACCAAGAAATCTTTAGCTCTAAATATAACTGCTGGTCTTGCTTCGTAAAAATCTTTGGTGTCTCAAACGTTATTAGAGGAGAAGTTTTAGACAAATTAATTTTATGTCTAGCTTCATACGTTTGTATAACAGTATAGGGAACATGTTCTTGATCTTCACCTTTTTCTGGGAAGTGTTGACTACTTTGATTATTGGACATTCTAACAGGAACTAGATTCTGAGAACCCTGCTTATTCCGAGTATTTTGCCTAGTAAAATTGTTTGAAATTTGAGGGAACTCATCAAGATTTGCATGCTGATTACCATCCCCATTCCCACCTTTTACTTGGCGCGTTCGTGTCTTAATACCTGTTCTTTCAGTTTGTCAACAACAACAGCAGGATTAGAAGCAGCACACACATTAACATTATCGATATCAGGTAGACCAACGTTCTCCTTATCTATACATTGCACACTATTAATATTAGGAGCCATGCTAGTTGAAACGATCTTACCTGTGTGTACTCGTTCATCATTAGTACTTGCAGTACATTGCTATAGCATTTTGGGATCAATTCATGACCTTGTATAAATGCACCAGTCCCTTGAACTTGCTGCTTCAGTTGTTGATCAAGATTAGGCCTGAAAATACTCCTCTGCATCTTGACCTGTTCCTGAAGTATTTTGTGCTGAATCTTTGGACAATGAACTGGTTCCAATTTGTAACATATATTGCGCAGCATCTTCAACAAGATTCCTTCGATATTTTTGTGAAGTTGTTTCTTGAATCTGCAGGTTAGTAGAAGTATGTTGTGACAGATTAGGTTTCCAAATATTACCGTAGATTTAACAACTACAACTCTTGGATTCGTTTCTTGACATTCCTCCTCTTCGATTTCGATTGGAGTTCCTCCTTTACCACCAACTGAACTTTGGAGTTGGGCTATTCTGGCTCCCATTTGCTGTAAATTTTCAGTATGATGATTGCCTTGACAAGGAGAATAATCTCCAATATTTGAATCCACATTTACACCACAAGAAATCGTTCGAAAACTAGATCGCTCATCTAGCGATTTGCGATCTCCGACGACAAACTCACTTGATTATTCAACCTGTTTCTTACTAACAGAAAGACCTCCAGTAGTTGGAGTTTCATTCTACTCTAAAACTTGACGGATAATCAATTCGATCAACAAAAATACCAACATCCCACCCAGTACCATAGTGGGATTGATGAAATTTATTAAGTTTTCAGCTGAAGACAAATTTTGTGATGTAGATTTCCTTTCTTCCATTAATTTAATTACAAGCAAACCAGAATTCGCTATATCCATGACTCGTCTTGCCCATTCTAATTCCTCCACAGAAATTGCAATATGACTCGTTTCTTCATGCCGCAAGTTCGAATTTGTGAAATCATCTTTTGTTTGTGGATCAATGTTAGAATAATGAACTTGTTGCTTATCTGGTGGTCGGTTTTGTTCCACCGGTGGCGTTAACGCCATCTGATTGACCTCCGATTACCACCGATGTGAGAGAAATTACAGCCGCCGCCGCTGTGTGAGAACTAGAGAGAGAATTTTTGGAGTTAGGGTTTAGATTTTAGAGTTTTTTTTTTTTTAGATTTTAGGGTTTAGGGTTTAGGGTTAGAGTTAGGGTTTAGGCTTTTTTAGCTTTTAAGGTTTGGGGATTAATATATATGATGTAATGTTTGGGTTTTGGTGTTTTGGGCTTGGGTTTAGGGTTAGGGTTAGAGTTTAGGTTTTTTTTTAAGGTTTTAACATTTGGGTTTATATTCTATGGTTTACTGTTTAATGTTTGGATTATGATTTTTAATGATTTTTTTAAAATTTGAACGACCCTTGTGGGGGGTTAGGGTTTGAGCAACACCCCTAGACCTTATAATTTATTAAAGTTCAACAGTACATAGAAGGGGCATGAACCTTACCCAATCCTAAGTTTGGTTATGAGTCGACCAACCTAGTGCAGTTAGTCAACTCAACCCGATACATCAAGTTGTATTCAAAAATAAACTAAGCACCTATGGATGACTCCTCCTTAATGCATAGTTTACTAGAAATACATAAACAAAGGAGACTCTCCCTTTTACAAGAAAAAGTCTATAAAATAAAAGAACATATTCTAATAGCTACCTCAAACTAGACATAGTCATTAGGAGTAGGATGAAACAGTCTCTAGAGTACACATTAGACAATGTGTAACTCCTAAGGAATTTGATACATGAATAATGTAACAAACCATACATTAAGACCTATATATTAAAATCACAAACCTCTACTTTTAGCTCTTGTAAATGGTCTACTAGTATTTGTAGATTGAAGATTATGTTTAGTTGACTTCCTTCCTCTTGGTGCCAACCCTTGTTTGTCTTTGACATCTTGTATTTCTTTTTCATATTCAGTGTGAAAAGTAGATTTAACCTCTTCGTCCTCGTCATTTCGGTCTAATGATCTAGTATCTTCATCATACTCATTCTCATATGCTATATGGCTATATTCATCAACTTCTTCAACTTATTCTTTCTTTTCCTGCTGCTCCTTTCCTTGTCTTTTTTCATGGCATTTCTTGTTTTTTTACTCAACCTATTCTTTGATTTGTTGTTACTATTCTGCGGAGATTCTGTTCTTTTTGTGAATCGTGCACATGCTATTGTTAATGCATATTAGCTACTATCTTATACTTGAATTGTTGATGAAATAATTGTATTGATCAATGAAGATCTAAGGTTAAAGGATTGGTAAGAATTGCTCTACACTTCTTCTCTACTTCTCTATAGTATTGTTGATTGAATTGTCCTTGTAATGTGTTGTCATTATATATGTGTTGACATGGCCTTGAAGGAAAATTGATGAATATATGAGTGTGTGGTTATGATGATCACACTATGTGAAGCTTAGGCCTACTTTCCTATTCTAGTTGTGATCTAGGTTGTATGGCTATTGTATAAGCATGTGTATATCTTAAAAAATGAGTATTCTAATATACTATTCTAAAATAAAATAAATTAGGGAGACTCTCCCTTTTACAAAAGAAAATACTAAAATGTAGTCTTACTCTAAACAATCCATACATATAGAGACGAACAATTTAGAAAGTTTACATGTATTTATATGTTTGACTTAAGATGCAATGTTAAACAAATAATATTTGTGTAGCTATATTAGGGAGGATACATAATTCATTTAAGCTTCTTTCTTATGAAATTGTGAATCCCCATTTTCTCAAAGATGTAACTTCCTCGAATGGTTCCCACTAGTTGTTGAGGAGTATAAAAATGTTGCATGATATCATTTGTATGGCTCCATTTTGCTAACAGATCTGCAGTACCATTGGATTCCCTATAGACATGTTGACATTGGAAAACTTCAAGCTTACTACAAAATTCATGTATTTTAGTAACATTATTCCTGCTTCTCCATGGATAACAATTTGTGTTGTTGATCCACTTGCTCAACAGCTCCGAGTCAATTTCTAGTATAATGCGTTTGTATACATGTTGTCCACACCACTCAATTTAATGAATTGCCTCCTTGATCTCTGCACCATTATTGTAATGCCTTGAGCTACCCCCGATACGCGAACATGGAACCTAGGACCATAAGTGATTCCAAGCTAACCCTGCTGACATGATCATGAGCATACTATAGAATATAAACTATTGTGGAAGCTAAATCATAAATTTCAACTGAAAAGATGGGAATTTACTCATATGCTAAATATGAGATATTTGAAGATAATGATTTTAATACAAAGGAAATATTCACTCAATACTAAGTTGAAACTAACTACGTCCGAAAATAGCCTCTAACTGGACTAGAAATACTGGGATAAACGCCATCTAAATCTAGCAAAAACTGAAACTAAAAGACTAAATACTGAAAAGAAACTAATGACTATTGTCCTCGAAGAATGAGGACTCACCACTAAATTTGTTGAGTTGAAGATCGAAAATTGATCTATGCGTGATCTGGGTGCTAGAACCTGAACCTACATCACGAGAAGATGTAGCACATGTATGTTAAGTTCTATGCCAAGTTTCCTTTAGTTTGATGACCAAGGATTTATACCTAAAATTCATCCATAATATTAACCTAAGGTAGTAGCTACAATGATCTTTGCATGATAAAAATCCTACAACAATTGTCATAAAATCGAGTTTACAATGAACACATAGAATAGGCTAGTTTTGTTAAAAAAATCATATATTGATCCACATGGATCATTTATCAACATTCATCCTCAATATGCATAATAAACAGTAGACATAAGCAATTATACATAATAGAATCATAATTCAATCGATATTCAAGATCATAAAGCCCATACTTAGACAGAAACGAGAATGGAAGGGGACATGGGTTCATCATGCAATTGGATTACATTCCACGTTAAAACCAATACATTATCATCAATTTATTATGAGAAATCCTGTGAAAACATTTTGAAAAAGAACCCATGGCTAGATTTAAATATTGAAGGTTTGATCATGAAATCTCTTTGAAAAATTTGAGATTAACTTTTAGAGGATAATTAGAGATGAAGGATCAACATTCCTTAATGTGTACCTATAAAACATGATGAAGAATCCATGGGAATCAAAGCTCCAAGCTTTTCTTGAGCTTCACCTTCAATGGAGGTTTCTAGAGAGAATTGGTTTTGGAGGGAAAGTCTAATTTTTTTAGAACGAATTAGGAATGGGTTGATCACGTTTTTGATAACTCTAATACACCTAAAAATAATCAAATAAACTAAACAGGGTTAGGTTAGGAAGTGGGTGAATTTCCCATTCACCCCTTAAATAAAACAGTCGCAGGCATGCAGTTGCAGGCAACAATCGACAGACAACATCGACTGGACGACGGGGCGTCCTACTGCTCCGTCGTTGGTGATGCTGCTCCCTCTTGGTTGATTCAGCTCCTGAGGCTAAGTGTCAACCTATGACCCAAATCTACAGGGTGTCAATGGACAGACGAGGTGTCAATTGAGCTCGTTAATTGACACTGCCAAAACAGTGTCTCGACAATATTTGGGTCATTCTTGAGGGCCTCTTGCGGGTCCCTTGGGGAGTCGTACCCAGACGTTTCTAACGTGAATATACACCTTAACATGTTGAATAACTTACATGCAAGTTTCACCCAACATGAACACGTAAAACACATCCAAACATGCAAGGCTCATTCAAGGCACACATGAACATCTCAAGGGCTAACTTTCAAACGTCTTAGACGTTCTTGGACGTTTGTCCTCCAAACTTCATGAAAATCCATACAATGCTTATAAACATCATTATTACTAATTTAAGGACCTCATAATCTCATGACACACACATAAGAACATAAAAACACATAACGTCCCTTAGATGACTAGTCATCGAACGTCTTGGCCGTCCCTTGACGTTTTACATCCAAATGACTCCAAATCACCCATGCATACTTTAAAATACATAACTAACATGTTGAAAAGATTATAGGAAAAATTGAGTGTCTAGACACCCTAAACCCATTTTAAGGGTCTTATAGTATCCCCATTTGGGAACATTCGTCATCGAATGACATTTAGAACACTTTAATCACAAAAGGACTTCAATAAATCATAGAGCAGATCACGTTATTCATAACATCATCACATACTTATGCACCAAACTTACAAGGAACAAAACTTCAAATCACTTAACACTCCATGAAACACAAGCAAGCCACACTTTCATTCACTCATGCTTAATGCATCAAACACGTATATCTTGTCATTTTAATAGGAGTAACATCATTCTCCGAATCATAACATGGCCTTTACATTTCAACTATTGAGATCTCATCATGCAACCACCTTTAAGTCACACTCAGGTAGATCACAACATCACTCAAGAATAAGTGCACATAAACTTGAGTAAGATAGGTTGGTAAGGATCTTTATTAGCTAGACCTGGTGCCATGAGGGTCATACTCAATTATACCATTTTTAGTTGTGTCTATGGAAGAATGTCCTTCTCCTCCACATGCTTACATCTCTCATGATTTTGTACCCAAGCAAATGCACAAAGGTCATCTGTATTGTAACATTAGATTTCCTCAACTTTTAATCATGTCATGCTCAATCATCCTTCCTAGTGAAATCAAAAGGGTAAATTACACGACACACATCACAACAATAGGAAGTCATATCACAAAATTCCAATTTCTAGCTTATCACTAGGCTTCAAAAACATGCATCATTTAGGGTTAGTCTTACAATTCATTGGCACGCACAAGAACAATAGCTACATGCCTTTACCTTTCAAAAGTGAGCCTACAATCATGTTTTCCAAACAATAGAAGTCACATAAATTTCAAGAGACTCATCATTTTTATTTTAAGGAGACTCAAATTTTTTCATTATAAGGCTAAAGCTTACACATTAAGAGTGACTTCAAACATGCTTCTTACCTTATTTCAGAAAGTTAAATGCACAACTAGCATGTCAAGATGCACAATCAACATGAGAAAACCATGAATTTAATCAAAATTTCTTTTCAAGTACTTTAGAATCTTCAAAATACTCTTAAGATAGGGTCAATCAAGACATACCAAACACATAGAGGTC